CGGCCGGAGTCACTGTGTTTTCTGCCGTGCGCCGTGAAGGGTTGTGTCGTGCATTGGTCATGTTGCTTGCATTCCTTGTTGGGTCCACAGCTTGTCAGTTCCGGCAGGGCCAGGGGATGCAGGGGGCGGGGGAGGGGGGGGGGGGGTCACGGGGGGGGGGGGGGGGGATGGGGACGTCGTTCATTGGCCTTCTCATCCAGGTCTATTCTGAGGACCTCCGGGGCTTCCACAGAATGTTTAGTTCTGCATCCAATACACTGAACAGCCTGCAGGGGTCCTGCCATCTTTGGTTGTAGGAGTTGATGATGCCAGTTCTGATCTGCAGTTCCTTTTCCCCCTTATAGGCTTGTTTCATGGTTTCCAGGCTTCGTGGGTGTAGGATCTGATGACCTCCTCCAGCACCTGTTGGGCCTGTTGAAAGCCAAATTGGTGGTCCGAGTCTTTCCGTTCAACTGAGGACCTTGCTCACCAGGCCGCATCAGAACATGGAGCCTTGTATATGAAAACACGTCAACTGCATAGCGGGACCGTTGGGCCAGGTGGTGGAGGTTCTTTACCAGCAGCAGGAGGCCAAGTCTCCAAGGTCCCATGGGATATGGTGTGTTGTTAGGGAGAGGAAGGCATCCCACCACTGCCAGATTTGGGCAACCATCGGGCATGCCAGGAGGCAGTGCTTCAGGGTCGCACAGGCCAGGGGGAAAGCCCTGCCACAATAGGCGCATATGGGAGAGAGTTGGCCTTTCTGTTCCAAGTTGGATCTGGACACAAGCCAATCCGGTGTGGGGAGGCATCGGCGCAGGATCTGCCACTGCAACGAGCGGAGGTTGGTGGGCATTCTTTTGGCATATTTGGGCCAGGGGAGGTTGTGCAGGTGGGTCGGGTCTATGGGTGAGTCCCGAGCCCATCTCGCGGCTATGGTGTGGCTAACAGCGAGTGTCGGTCTCGAATCCCTGTCCCCCCCTCGAACGGCGTAATCCCTTTTTTTTTTCTTTTTTTTTTTTAAGCACACGCGCTCCATCTATTGGTGGGGAGCAGCACCTGCTGGAAACCGGGTCCAGCGTCCCATAGATACAACCATTTCCTCTCAAATTGGCACGAGCTGGGAACCGGGCCCAGCGTCCCTTGAGTACGTTCAGAAAAACCATCAGAAAATTTCATGACAATGAAACTAACGGTATACTGAGGCTACTTCAGAGCTTTTTTGTAAGGAACACTCAGAGATAAACAAAAACCAGAAGAAGACTCGGGAATCCACCAACAGTCCTCCTCACCCCACTCCGGCAACACTTACTGCAGCAAAGCCACCATCTCTACTGCTGCTTTGCCCTATTTCTGTCCTACCAGCTAGCCCCTTCACTAGCAGGATGCGTGATACCTTTCTCTCTCGATCCCTTACCTTCCCGTTACTCAGAAAAGGTACGGGAATAGACTGCAAAAGTCCTAAAAAGGCCCCCAATCCCGCAAAATCCCTAACAGATCCTCCCAAGGATCTCCAACACTGTCGTATTCCCTGCCGAGCTTCCAGGCCTCACACCCGCCATCCTGCTGGGTTACAGGGCAACACAACTCACCCCAGCTCCGGCCAGCGTCGTCTCAGCAGCAACCCTTGGTTGTCCCGTGGGATGCCCCCCCAAAGCACCCCCAGATCTCTCTACCAGGCCTCATGCCCCTGCATCAACAGGTTACAGGGCAACACCCCAGCACCGGCCAGCGTCGTTCTGGCGTCGAACAGCCTTAGGTCACCGAGTATTACAGCCTTGAAACGACCTAGACGAGATTGCCAGGAAACCCCAAGATCCAGAAGACTTTTTAAGGACAGAACAGACTACCCCCTTTTTTWAGAATTGGATTTAACTACGTAAAGATTCGTAATTTGAAAACATAAAAAAGGCCTGGCGGGTCCTAGAAATGCTCAGAAACCCTTGGAATCCCTAACGCTCCTTCCGAGGCCTTTCAACACTGTCCTACTCCCTGCCGAGCTCTTCCAGGTCTCACACCCCACATCCTGCTAGGTTACAGGGTGACACAACTCACGGCGTAATCCCATATACGCATGGATTTCCTGCTTGTCCATTCCCACTCAGCCGGATCAAAAGGTAGGGCCTCGATCGAGGTCGAGGCTTCATGGGCGAAGAGGCCCTCTTTCTGATCTCCCACTACTCTTATATTCATCAGTCCTTCCGGGATTTTGTCACAGTCCAGGTCGGCGTTCCATGTCAGCTTTGGCAGTCTCGCCCCCAGCAGGTCGGGCTCGTGGGCTTCCAGAGTGCAATCTCTATGGTCATTTGTCTGCACTCTGTAGATCACCAAAGGCAGGGGCAGGTCTCCAAGCTTGCGAGTTGCCAGGCGAGGGGGATGGCTTCTCGAATCTGTTGTAGATTGTTTAAATTTCCACATTTTTGGCGTACTTGAGCTGTTCCTGAAAATGAGCAGGTGTGACGCAATCCACGGTCCGTAGGTCCCACAGCCTCCCAATTGTGTATATACCCTTTTTAACCCAGGTGAACCACAGCGAGTTCGTCGTTAGCGGGAAGGGTTTGCCTACCTCGTCCGCTATGTACGGGTTGCTGAACAGCGGTTGACGCCAGATGTCGTGCCACCGGTTGGGAAGTCGTTTTTGCTTCAGCCCAACCCGCCTCCAGAGACCGATCATGTATGGCCACAACTGATCGTTAGCTATGTCCTGTTTGGTGGCGTGGGCCGGGTTTCTTGCTGGCCCTTGGCCTGCCGGGGAGGGTATGGACCAGTGTGCATCGGTCAGCCACATCTCTCAGTTCACCTGCACTTTCCCAAAGCAAAGCCTTGAACCATCTCAACAATAAGCCCCCGTCCTGGGAGAAGACTACAATCTTGTCTACAGCAGGTCTTTTATGCAAGAGGGTACTTGAAGTTCGCCCGATGCTGCATTTCCTCCCGAGTCTCGACTCTGGGTGAAGACCACCTTACTGTGTGTGCAGATACCCCCTTAAAGGCCATTCCCTGTGCACCCAAAATTGCGCAGCTCTTCATGACTATGACGAGCATCTCAATGAAAAATATATTTTAACGGAAAAACTAGGGCGCTGTCACAGTTTCAGTTTGAAAATGCATTCCAGTCACGTTTTGTGAATGTTGTATCAAACCGAGGAAAATCGTAAATGTATACAACCCAGCTTTGGGGTCGGGTGGGGATGTGTTGTATTTGAGGGATGCCTGAACTAAACTGAAATCGTGACAGCGCCCTAGTTACCCCGTACTTTAAACCACCAGTACTTGGCCCAGCTATAGTAGTTACTGAACAACGTGTGTTTAGGGCATCATACCCTGCCGTCCACGGACGGCCTCGAACCGGCACCCTCCGCCACAGGAACGAAGTATCGTAACCACTCCAACCCTTGGAGGGGTTATTAAAACCAGATCCATACCGGTCGTGATATCCAGCCCACCTCCAGGGCTGTAGCGTCCTTGAACTCACACCACACACTCACACACACCACACCACGGACATGGCAATCCACTCACTCCGCTCGGACAACACATAGCCCCACCACCGCTACTTAACCTGCTCACTCTTGCGGGCCAACTGCCTGCTAGTTCACAGGCGCCTTCACAGTAGTTACTGAACAATGTGTGTTTAGGGCATCATACCCTGCCGCGCACGGACGGCCTCAAGGCCGCAGACAAAAAGAGAATAAAAACGTTTCTAATTGGATGAATTTGGCCACTCCTGTAGTGGCCCGTACGTTTCCTAAAATTGTTGTTTGTATACGGGCACAACTTTAGGAAGTACTGGTGGTTTAGTGGGGCCAGCCATTATCACAAGGTAACTTGCCATAATCAATTACCATAATCAGTTACCATAATCAATTACCATAATCAATTACCATAATCAGTTGCCATAATCAGTTACCATAATCAGTTACCATAATCAATTACCATAATCAATTACCATAATCAGTTACCATAATCAATTACCATAATCTATTGCCTCTCTCTGCAGCAACTCTCTCTGCAGCATGCACCGAGTGGAAAGGAATGCATCACTGTCAATTTCAGTGTTTTGAACGTACAGGTGTGTAGTATTCTGTGTTTTTTTTTTTTCGGGATAGTAAACTACACGGGATATTCATCTTCAGTGATTGCAGGGGGGAAGGAAAAGGTGAGCTTCAGTTTTGTTTTGGGGGTTTGTTTGTGGCAGCCAGTAACTGCAGATAAGTTGAGGGCTGATGTCAGGAAGCTTCGCTGGTTGTCGACAAAAAAATTGAAAAAAAAATCATAATTAATTACGACTGGCGTCAATGGTTTTTTTGGTGATCGCGCCTAACGGCGGCTTTCTGGAAGCGGGAATTCTTTGTCAAATTAAATAAAGTGAAGCTTATGGAAATCGAATATTTCTGTTTTTTAGAAATCGCAACAATTTCACTTTGTTTGTTGTTTTTTTTAGATGTTGTCAACGCATGAAATGAAACAAGCCGCTTCTCAATTTATCACACCACGACAGCGACAGCGGGCGGGCACGAGCCACTTGAAAGCACGCCGCACCAGTTCCGACCACGACACCGACAGCAGGCATGCAACAGACCGGACCCAATGGCCGCAAGACGAGCGCCAGGCCTCCCCAGGCCGCGCCTCTTCGTACGGCCGACGGTCGCCATTTTCAATTTTATTTTCTTTTTCCCGGCCTGGGCCCGCCACCCCAGGTCCCGAACCTGGAATTCGGGTCTCGCGCTGGCGTCACGCGAGACTCGGCTTTTCCTTTAGTAGTATGTAGATGTAGATATATCCAGAGACAATAAGGCTCTGCCAAAAACATAATTATATACAATATAGTATATACTAATGATTATTTAGGAAAATTGTCCAAACAATGCTTGAGAATAAGATGGTACAACATGCTGGCCAAAGCATCCCAAATTCATCTGGAATCTCAATTCAGTACACAGTGTACACACAAAAAAAAAAACAAGGGCAAACTGCTCCTGACTCCTGAGTCACCTTCTTAGTTTGAAATAGGCAAGAAAAGACAAAGTGGCGCGCTGATGTCATTGTTTGAGTTTCAAATTGTGCAAGTTTAGTAGGGTGGTAAAAAAAACTGCGGCCATTTTTTTGAAGTGGTGCTAATGCAGATTTAGCGGCACGGCCTTTTTTTTTTTTTTTTTGCTTTTTTTTTTTTTTTTCAAGAACTGCTAAAGTTGCCTATTAGAAACGGTGGGTGTGGGTGTGACCCTGGAGCCGTTGCGCCAAAAAAACAATGATCTCTGCCAATCGATCTCCATGATCAAGGGATGAAAATGAGCACCCCCTGTCACTGAGGGACGGAACCATCATTCCCTCCTCTATGAGGGACGGTGGACCCAGTTTCCTGCAGGTGCAGCTACCGCTATCTCACAGGTGGCGCATTCGGAGACACTGAAGACGCATCTTGATCGCGATTGCCAAAGGATGTTGAAGAGGAGGCGGCTTTCCTTGCATTAACGCCAGTGGCAGAGGCGGCAGTGGTAGTACTGCTACTGCTACTGCTTGGTGGCTTTCTGTCGATCAACCCATAATAAAAAATGTTATATGCTATAGTAAACGCAAAAAGCGCGCCGGCCACGAAAAACAAAAATCCTGGCGAGAAAACCACATCCCACTGTTGCAAAGTCGTCGACATGTCATCAGAGGAAGCATCTGAAGATTCTGATCACACGGGCAAAAACAGACAGACAGACAAACACACAAAAAGCAGACGGCGTCAGAAATGCACAGAGATAGCAACGGCAATCACCCATACTCGTTGCAAAAGGACGAATGCGTAGCTCATTTACGTCGACATTTCTTAGTGAACATGGACTAGATCTGTTTTTGTTTTGTTTTTTTTTGAAAAATTGCTCCGATCTATTTGCAGGGAGCTGCACGTGCTGGGAATCGGGCCCAGCATCCCTTTGAGAGAATGTCCAACTTGCTTGGCTGCTCGGACTACCGTCTTCACCCGAATAGAACGCCCGGTCATTATCACTGTATCTCGACTGAAAGTTGCACAAAATACAGCTATAATGACTGGGCGTTCTATTCGGGTGAAGACGGTAGGGGCCTCGCTGCACTACTCTCCACATGCACAAAAGCCAAAAACGATGGCAGTGTTCTAGCCGAAGATTCATTCAGCGAGGCCGTAGATCTAATGTTTCTAGACAAAGACAGACAAAGACAAGGCAAAGGCGTCGACTGTGTAGGTCTACCTGCCAGAGTCCAGTCGCTACAGGTTGATCCTTTTTTTTTTTCTTTTTTTTTTTTGAACAAATGCTCCAGTCTATTCGTAGGGAGCAGCACGTGCTGGGAACCGGGCCCAGCGTCCCATATCGAATTATACAGATCATTGGGAACATGCTACAGGTTGATCCTGCAAGTTGTTGTCATTCCAAACACTCATCTGTTTAAAAAATCAATTCAAATGTTCCGGGACGCTGGACCTACTTTCCACCAGGTGCTTCTCCCCACCAATAGATGCAGCCTCCCCGGTGATGAACCTACTGGTGTGTGCTCTTACCAGCACCCACCCCTAGCATCGAATCGGGTCCTTTGTGGTCAAAAAAAAGAAAAAAAGAAAAAAAAAAAAGGGGTCGAATGGCACTGTCAGATAATCCCACGCGTTTACACAGTCCTCAATGAGCTTTTTGCTGAGACCAGTTTGAACTCTGAAGTCGTTTACCTGCCTGTGTTCTGTTTCGCGCATATTCTGTGTGTGTGTGTGTGTGTGTGTGTGTGTGTGTGTGTGTGTGTGTGTGTGTGTGTGTGTGTGTGTGTGTGTGTGTGTGTGTGTTTGCAGCAGCCCATGTCCTTGCAGCAGCAGCGTATGTCAGAAGTCAGTCACAACTCAATGTGCACAGTTGGCAAGGCGCACATCGGGTTGCGCCCATCGGATTGCGACTTTCGAGTGAAATTTCTGAGTGGTGTTGCACTTTTCAGGGTTGAGGCCCTGAGGGGGTTAACTGGGGCTGAAAAGCGGGGGTCCCTGTTAACTGCTTATGGGGCTATATTATAACCCCATAGGTCGAATTTATTTGTTCAACATTTCAAGGACAGGGAGGGCGCTTTGACCTTTGACTGCACATAGGGGAGGTCAGAGTTGTCAGGCGGCCAGCAGCAGGGACGAAGAGGCCGCCCTTGCCTCGAACTCTGGATTTGGTCTCCCTATCTCCTCACTGAGTCCTCAGTATATCTGCTAAGTCCACACTCCCCTGGTCTTCAGGAGTAATCAACGCTGGCAGACCAAAAGTGGCCGCAGACTCGCAGAGTATCATCTCCGTATAACGGGATGCTGAACCCGTTTTCCAGCAGTGGCAGCGCCCCACCATTAGTAGTAGTGATGGATCCGTACATCGGAGCCTAAAACCTCTTAAGGACACAAGAGCTCACGGATTCGAACCGGCAACCTCTCGGCCTCAAGAGCCAAGTCTCTTAGCCACCACTACAGACATGACACCGTGTTCAAAATTGGAACCGTACCGGGCATGGTATGATTGGTATCCACCCCACCCCTGCAAGGCTGTAGTGTCCAACTCGACACAACACCGCACAGCAACAACAACAACAACAAAAAAAAAAAAAAAAAAAAAAAAAAAGCTTTGTCGCTCGACTAACAGCATCATCGTTCTCCTCTCAACGGACAACAATTTATTTATTTATTTATTTATTTTTATTTTTATTTTATTTTTTTGCTTCGTACACGAAATATACGACTATGTCCTCGCAAGTTTTGGATGGATGTTTTCTGTACTCGTCGCCATGCACTGTGACCTGAGCCTAGGAAACTTTGACAGGCAAACTCCAGACTTGCACTGTGCAGGGACATAAAGGCAAGACTTTTGGGTGAAATTGGGTCCGGTAGGTAAGAGAACATCACATGAATACGGCATTATACCGATTTGTGAAATGCTCATAAACTCGATGGATGACAAGCCACGGAGAGATACCGATCAAGAGAAAAGACAAAGACAAAGACAAAGGAAGAAGAAGCATAACTTCAGATAAGGAGGAATTGATACAATGTCTTGATTTCTCCTCTCCCACTTCTACTAATACGGGCTCCTCTCCTCTCCTTCCAATTGGCGAATCAGCAGTCACCAACCTACCATCCGATAGTGATGCCACCACTCTCCCTTCCCACAACACCTCGCCAATACGCAGGACTGCTGTCCTTCTGGCACTGGCTTCACAAGCCAGTGCAATGAAGATCAACATCGGACAAGGCATTGCCGGCCTTCAGAAGCAACGCACTGTTTCTCTCTACACAACAACACTAGCAGGTAAGACCAGGTACTCTCGTCCACATGCAATGATCTCTCTCTCTCTCTCTCTCTCTCTCTCTCTCTCTCTCTCTCTCTCTCTCTCTCTCTCTATCTCT